GTAAAAGTAAAGTGAAGCTATCCCTATACCAGACCGTGAAGGCCCATAGGGTTGTGAGACGTTGAGGGGCCCACATTATCTAGACAATCGGCTCAAAGATGGCGGTAAGGTTGTCAGCCTTACGAACCGGCCGCGCTTTACTCCCCAGAAAAAATTATTTATCTAATTCCTGGTAATCATTTCTGTTAGATGGGGTTTTTTAATTCAAAATTAGGACAGTCACAATTGACGACAAAGTTCATCATCTCTTTGCCCACAGCTGCTCGTGCAACGTGGCCCTCCTGGGTATAAAAGCGAAATAGATAAGAACTTGGATTCACACTTGCTAAACAACACCGCGATAGTACACTGTATTTATACCGTAAATACAAACTGGAACCATGGGTTCCGGGAAGAATTTTTTTGCTGGGGCGACATAAATTAGCTTACAAACTTACGTTTAAATAATCTTATCTTCTGATACGATTCGATTCGGTGTCTACTGGAAAAGAGAATAGAAATGCTTAACACCAGAAGATCTTCGGTCTAAGAGATGAAAAATCTTAATTTTCATCTACTGCATAAATCTAAACTTGGGTCAGAGCGATGGATATACAGGTATGCTCAGCGTAAAGTTATTTTCTACAGTCTCTGCGCGGTAGTAAACAAAGGTAAGGTATTTCTATGATTGACTAATCAGTCACTAAATCACGAAGACGTATGGGAGAGTAGATTGTGTACGAGTGTATCCACGTATTCTTGACCGCGGCACTAGTTGGTGGTGAGTGATCAGCTTCACGCCCCAGCCACTTTACCCCTGGGTAAAGAGCCCCCAATACCCATTAGATAGGAGGCTGAGTGGGCCCAAGACCAGGTCTGGGCGACGTGAAAAGAGAAAATCTTTCCCTTACGAGACTCGAACTCCGACCACTCGACTGTCCAACCCGTAGCCAGTTGCTATACCCACTGCGCCATCATGGTTACCTTCGGTTACCTTATTAGTGGTAACCAAAATGGATTACAACTACGTCTAATACAATGTAGGATTTACATACTTCCAAATCTTCATGTGAAACTTCTTCCAAGCCTTGAATCCCTAATGTTGTATTTTAACGTCCTGTTGCATTGATTTTCATCCATGATACATATGTAACGTAAGAAGCGACATATGAAATTAAGTGCACTACAAGACGGCCATTACATATGTATCTTGAATCCCTATTAGTTTCTCCGTCTTCAACAATTCCCCGTTCGACTTTCTTCGGTGGTTTGAAAGCAGAACCGGAGACGGAAATCCCATACAGTAAGCAGCGAATTCAAATAACGTAAATTATGGCGAAATTGCAGACAATTTTTTTAAGATTCTTATGGATGGCAGTTTATGGAAAGATATGTTTCTACGTCATATGGGTTTATAGCTACAAAGAGAGCGCTTATCTATGAAGCGTTGTTTGTAAAGGAACTGATAGGCCTAAGTGAATGGGATTCTTAGCGTACGTATGTCTTTCCTTGTTCTTTTCAAGAACATTTCCCTTTGGATGTACGAGTTATGTACTAACATATGGCTCTCGAGAAAACTGTCTCTGTAAACTGTTTATAACATATTCTAATGGTAAGATAGTCTCCTACATATTTTTATTTCAGCCACATTCACCTCCTTTCTTAATAGTACAGGAAGGGGTTCTATACAAGCGAGTTTTCAGAGTGACAAAGAGTGGGGCGAACGTTGAGATATCTCTTCCAAATTGCATGAAAAATAAAGTAATATTGCGATTCTAATGGTTGAAAATTCTTCGTCGCCCTTTCTCTCAGAGGAAGAAATACGTGTTTCGATCCAGTATCAAGGATAAGCCAAAAAACTTAACAGCAAAACTGATGTTTACTTCTAAAATCTGCTGTATCCTTTGCATTCTTTTGGCTCTGCTGCAATTTTATTATTTTATTGAGGGTAGAATTCGGAAGTCACCTATTTTCGAAACAGACGTACCGTATTTAAGCATGTATAGGCCGCGTGCGTGTATAGGTCGCAGCACAATTTTCAGACAGAAATTATAGAAAAATTAATTTTCTTGGAATATTATTTCAGGAGTAGAAATTATTCCGAAATTTGGCAACGTTTAACATTCCTAAATGAAGTGTGATTTCGAATATTTCGAATATACGCCGCACCCCAGTTTTCCTCTTGAATTTTTGGCAAAAAATGTGCGGCCTATACATGCGTAAATACGGTAATTTTAATGGCCTTGTCTGCGCCTTATGAAATTGTTTAATTGAAAAGGAATTTTTAGACCAGATTGAAGAAATCTCCACACGTTTCTCCAAAGAATTTAGGCTTTAGCTTTATAAAAATGTGATGCAGAACGACTATGAAACTGTCCGTGTTCGGCGTGTTAAGAGAAGAGGATAACATCATAAAGTTTATAAAACTTTTACGACTTACAGACCTGTCGCAGCTCATTTATATATTCAGTTTAGTGAGTATTTTGAAAAATAAATTAATAAAACTGTATTTCAATACACGGATTCAAGAATTATATAACTATACTGTTGACATTAACTTTATTCGCCTAATCACAAATATTTATTTTCGAAATAGCTTTAAAGTAAAGTACAATAATCAGATACACCTCATCGTGGTGAGGGGGTTTGAGTATGCCAAGGACCCTGAGAGCTATACCAGCGGTAGTGTAGCTACTGGCAGGGCCTCCCTTACTGGACAGGTCAAAGGGTAGGCATCAGACGAAGAGAGACACCAAAAACTGATGCCGGAAGCAGCGTCATCAGCAGCGACTTGAAGCACAGAGAACAACAGGCGTGACCAGAGTGGTTTGAACGGCTGCTGTACTGCGATGTGGAAAGCAAATGGAAAAACTACCACATTATCACTTTTCCTGGATAGTCTCTTTCCAAAAACAGAGATACCATATATGCGAGATGTTTCCTCTGGAGACAAAACAATCCGGAGGGGCGGATAGAAGTGCCCAGAAGAGGAGGAAGAAGAAGTAAGAAGATGCTGGATGACCTTGGGGACAGAAGAGGATATTTTCATTGGAAGGAGAAAGTTCTAGATCGCATTAAGTGGAGCAACTGTTTTGGAAGAGACTGTGGACCTGTCATCTGACAGATTACTGATGAATGAATGAAATGAATCAGATACTTCTCCCTTTCTAGTAGTTACGTGATGTTATCTGCGGCGAAATTTGTAGCAAACTTCCCTTGTTTATGTAAGATTTGAGGTTTTCACGGCGGTGACTAGAAAGAATGTCGTCTTCTTGGATGTGGCACCGTGTAGATATTTTGTTAGCCGACTTTTCGGAGGAACGTATCGCCTCCATCTTCAAGGTATAAGAAATCCGCGAGCGATGAACCAGCGTGAGCAGGTTTCTGTAGTCTGTAGTTCCTCCGAAAAGTCGGTTAACAAAATACGTACACGGCACCACATCCCGGAAGACGGTATTCTTTCTTTTGTTTACTTATGCTTACTGGAACCAAGGTAAAGTGTAAAATCATACCAACGTTTAATTAATTAAGTACCAAGATATGAAGAATTGTTGAAGGTGTTAAGGTATGGCACATGGCTCGTCCTCAGGTTGCGCATGTAGGAGAAGCCCACCAGTTTTGGAGGGAAGCCGTGAATATATTGAATAAGCAGTCGCGGATAGCCGACAAGGGGTGGCCCTCAAGCTTGGGGGTTGGGCGTGGGGCTAACAACTCCTCACCGTAAAAAATAAATATGTTACGAAAATGAACACAAAGCCTCTGACCTGGACGGATTCCTTGGATAAATGACCTAAGCTAAAGAAAATGGGAATAATCAAGTCAAGGAGGATGAGGTGGAGAGGGCATGTAGCACGAATGGGGGAGACGAGGAATGCGTGTAGGATATTGGTGGGAAAGCCAGAAGGAAAGAACCACTGAGAAGACTAAGGCATAGGTGGGTGGATAATATTAAAATGGATCTCAGAGAGATAGGATGGGATGGTATGGATGGATTGATCTGGCTCAGGATAGTGACCAGTGGAGGGGTCTTGTGAACACAGCAATGAACCTTCGGGTTCCATAAAATGCTGGGGAATTCTTGAGTAGCTGCTGAATTGGCGGCTCCTCCAGAAGGGCTCAGCTCCATGAGTAAATAAGTAAGTATGTAAGTAGGTTAAGGTTAAACTAAATCCAATACAGATGTAATTTAAATTAAAAGAACCAATGGAAGTCTCAAGTGTCACATGTTGTTCTTTGCTGGAAGAACATTAAAGCATTTCCATTATACCTAAAAAGAGGAAGTAATATTAACAGTGTGATGAAATGAAGGTATGGGGGAAAGATTGGTGGAAAATGTAGCATGCGCAAGGAGAACAGAAAAGCATAAATTTTGCTCAGAATACCTGAAGAGAATAGAAGTTGGCTTAGGCGGGATGTGGACCTACACGACTGAATGGAGTTCTTGTGAACACGTCAATTAAATTTGGGAATTTCTTCCTCATCTGGGCGACAATCTGTTTATGAAGAAGGACGCTGCTTCACGAAGTCTGTTATGGCATTTCGCTAGTGCAGGTGAACACTGTGGCCCTCTGCATTGCGATATGCGAGCGGCAGATCAGCATCGTTTGAAACATTCCGGTTCGTTTCTTTCAATGTCGCCCCGATAATTTAATGGGGAAAGATCTGAAAGCATGTTTGCGTATGTGTGGGCGCCAGCGGGGTGTGGAGGGGGAATTAGGCATCACACACTGCCCCTAGATATTTTGAAAACATCAACATGGAAGAAAAAAGAGCAAAGTGTACCAAATATCAGTAACGTAAATTGCAAGTATTTTTCTTAAAAAAAAAACATTATTCTATCTTGAATGGTGTGGGTTGACAAGCAGAATGAAACTACGGCTTCAACGTAAGTATGCAAGCAAATTCTCTGTACCCTCCACACCGAAAGAAAATCACAGCGGCGCCCATGGCTTTATATATACAGAATGTTATAGATAAACACAATATATGTAAATATGTATATATAAGATGCTTGACAATACCTGATTGTTGCACATGACATCCTTGCAGATCAGACTTAACACATGAAAACTCACGGCACTATAAAACACAATCCTAAGCGCAACAAGACAGTCTGAAGTTGGTACAAGCCTCGCCACTTCGCGTCTACACTCTGTGCTGTCCAGTTAGCGACTGCAACGACTGCAACAAAGGTGCCTATGAAAACCTCATGATCGAAACAGCGCTACGATACGCACTGGTTAGCTGCCATGAGAGTCGGCCGTCGAAGAGGAACCGGAGACGGAAATAAAATGCAAATCCTTCACGGAATCATCTAATGTAAAGCAATTGCTGTAAACTCGACTGAACAGCTACTGACACATCGCTCACTGCGTTCCAATCTTCCCCATGTACGGCACACCTATTATATTATATACGTAGTTCCATGTATTACTGCAAAGCCGTGTATGAAGTATCAAGGTCAGTAGCGTAGCGACGTTTCAGGGAGTCCGGCCGCATAATAAGGGTTTGCCCCCCCCATACGTTTACACTATGCACCCTGTCATACTACCTAACGCCAACTGTATTGCAGGACAAGCAATTTTTTCTGTTGCTAGTACTACTGTTGCTAAGCCAAGAATGGCATTCATCGAACTGTGAACGGGTGAACTAACGTATTGGCCAAACGATTGTAACAAGCTACCAGGCCTATTAGACTTTTTCATCCATAAAGGTATTACAAAAAATTTCATTCAGATAGAATCTAACCATGGACTACCATCTGATCACACACCTGTAATTGCAACTTTATCCACCCACGTGATAAACCAATCACCGGTAATTATGCTGGTTACAAACGCAACGCACTGGAACAACTTTCGCACATACATTGAAGACCACAATATTATGAATATAAAAATAAAAGAACCCGACGAGTTAGATCAAGCAACCCAATACTTTACAACTTTAATGCAGGAAGCAGCATGGTACTCTACTCCCACGCCACTGGATACAACAAAACGTACATATAACATCCCCCTGCACATACGCGAACTAGTAGCTGAAAAACGCAGAGCAAGGAGTAGGTGGCAAAGGTCACGAAATAACGATGACAGAATCAACTACAACAGACTTAAAAGACGACTGCACAATACGCTAGCAAATGCAAGAAACACGACTTTTGAGCAATATATCACTTCACTCAATAAGGACGATCATACAATCTGGAAAGCTACAAGAAGATTGAAACGGCCCCAAAAATCAATACCTCCAATGAGAAAAGCTGACGGAAGCTGGACCAAAAGTGATTTAGAAAAAGCCGAAAATTTTGCTGAATATCTTACTCTGGAATTTACACCACATGACACTAATAATCATCATAATGACAACGAAATTGAGAAGTCTCTAGATACACCCTGTCAA